TACAGAATGGCGAGTTCGATTGTTTTACGAAAATATTGGAACGGCTCTGGAGACTGGCTTCAACACTATCATACCTGGAACCACAGAGGGGGAAACGTGCAAGAGCCAACAAACACGACCTCATGTGATACAGATTGCTATGTCACCGTCCCTACGCCGAAAGCAGAAACTCGAGCTTGAGCTCCTCGGGGTGTCGGATATGACACTCTCAAGAGGCGTCGAAAGACTGCGCGAGCTAAGTCCTTGCTATGTTCCAGTCCTCCGTTATCTCCTTCGAATCGCATCCTGGCTGCATGGGTATGCTGGACCAGCAGTCCAAAGGCCTCATGAACCCCCTCGCCCGTTTGAGGACAGCACTCGGCAAAGAGAATGCCATTCTCCTCCGCATAACGCCGTGCCTCCGTCCGGCTTCTTGAATGCTGGGGACCTTGAGATTGGCCTTTAGAAGCCAGGATGCTAGCATCATCGCGGAGAGCAAGAACCAGGATCTGGACTGGAATTCCTCCTTCGCCCCAGCGCCACCAACGCATTCCATAGGACTGAAGGTTGCAAAGTTCACTGAAGGTTTCCGGTCCACTAACCTCGTACACAAGTACGACTCCATAGTAGTCGCTTGTGTGGCATAACGCCGCAGATTGGAAAATTTCCATATCATAGTGATAAGTATCGCAGACGAATCCTGCCAAACTGTCCTGGCGTAATGTTGTAGTTGTCGGTAACCATTGTCCGCCGAGGCCATATTTGTCGTTGTATAACAACTATTTGTCGCTTCGTCAGTGGACACAGTAGAAAACCACGGGGTAGGAACCGTTCATACACTGTCCAACAAGAACGACTTGCCAATACTCGGATGGCCCCAGATGGCGACGCACATGCTACCTCCTCTATGGTCCACGTCCTTCCGAGTCAATGTGCCATCCCTAACCAGTTCGAGCCAACGCCAGTGACGGTACACTTCAGGGAGACGCGGCGAGACAGCATTCTCCCGCACAGCAGTGACTGCCTCGTCCAGTGAATCGAAGAGTTGTCTCTGAACTGTGTTTTCCGGCCAAGGAGAGTCCAGTTCGGCGTGGCGGGAAATAATACAGTGCGCATGTTCCACAAATAGTCCGATAGCCTCATGTACCCCTTCACCCGTCCTCGCTGAACACTCTGCGAAGAGGGATCCATTCTTGCGAGCGAATGCCTCTCGCCCAGCACGAGGCATATAAAGACCACCTTGGATGTCCGCCTTGAGACCCAGCAACATGACCTTGATTTTAGGCCGGGATTCGTTTTCGCCCTTTTGGAGTGAATGGCAACCGCTGATGAGTTTTTGCAGGCGAACGGCTTCGGCCCACGTATGAGGTGAACTGAGGTCATAGACCAAGATTATGCCGCAGTAACTGTAATGATAGCAGTAGGCACTTGTACCAGCCGCATGCCCTGCTGTAGAAAAGCGGAAATCGATATGGTACTGCGAGTCGCCACAGCTATACGTGGGGTGAGACTGCTCCCCTAGTGTTGGATCAAACTCATCCTGTAGCAACTTTGAGCCACCCGTCAAGTCATCGTACATTATCTGATAGGTTTTCGAAGAGTCAGTAGTGCAACATCTTCGTAGTGCACTCTGCACGGTACAGGTTGGTTGAGGGGACCCTAACCTTCTTGTAGAGTGAGCTCTTTCCAACGCCTGCTCGCCCCAAAACAGTAACGTACAGAAGCCTTGTGCTCCCCGCTGTACGCATCCGACTGATCCAAGCCGTATGTGCCTCTGGTGTCCATCGATTTTCGTGTATTGCCTTGGGAGCAGCCTGAGACGGGCAGTTGACAGGAATCTCGATCTCCGAGGAGCCGACTGACAAACCGCTCATGGCCGGCTTGTTCGATATACCTCCCGTGGTTTCGATCTTAGAATGTCGCTCCCCGGTGTGTAACAACTTGCGTATCCATTTTCGGGCCTCGGAAGTCATGTTTTGCCTGTGTCGTTGTTGTCCCAAAGGTCGTTGTCGGGCCGTGAGCAAAGGTGGTCATGGTTGCAGGAGGGGACAGTAGGGTAAGCTCTGACAATCTCCTCAGAACTCCGGTGCCCGTGGCGCCGCCGGGGCAGTCTTTTAGAGGACGATCGTTCAACCAACAACCTGGAACCCATCAACGGCGCAAGCGAGCCAATAGAATTCCGCTTTGCCCCTATGCCTGTAATGCCTACTTGGGGGCCATTCAGGTTATTCGCTGGAGCTGACAACATTGTATCTAATACAGCTCCCCCCATTGTAGAAAGCAACCCCGCATTCATACTCCCCGATGTCACCAAACATATTCAGGGGCAACAACTTCTCTTGGCAATGTGCCCTCCAACTCCACCATTTGAACTCAATTACTGAGACTCAAAGCTGAACTTGAATGTTGAATACCACACCCCAACCGGAAGTCGGCTTCAGCACCGTCTTATTATAGGCGCAACCCAGCAGTGATCAGGACCGATGCCATGTGGTCCGGCGATGTTGATTCAGGAGCCTAGGCGATGTTCTCCTGCATGGCCGGATGCAAGTCTTGATTAAGGAGGTGAGCACAGCAGTTTATCCGCGGCTGACCCTTGCTCTCAAGATTTTCCTGGTATCCAGGCTTGTTGAGTGTCCCATTTATGGAAGCTGCCTGCAGGCGGAACCAGACTTCCAAAGATCCGGCACGGCTCGCCTGGAATACACCCCAACTGATGTGCACGCCCCAAGATCATATCTGGTTGCTGCCCCGAGGCAGAGGCCAGTGGAGGGTTACACCAGCATCGCGAAGAGGCTGGAGAAAGCGGGTATGACTTTATCTCGCCTCGACGGCGATGCATCGGGTCCGCCCACTTGGTGCTGAGGCCAAGAGATGGTGAGGGTCTGAACTTTCTTGATCCCAGAAGGATAAATATGTCGGTGACGCCGCCTGCCCGGCTTTCGGATCCTCCTTCGCTTTTGGTCCCACCTCCAGTCTCCGTTAGACTTGTGACAAGATGCATCGCCAGTTGTTGCTCTTAGGCCTGGCGGCCGCCGATGTCCTGGGCAGTTCCATAGCAACACTACCTCGACAAGACGTTACAGCGTCGGGTGGCGGCTCGCCCCAGCTGGACTTTTCGGACGCAGCGCCTTTGCAACCGACAACTTGGAATGGCAAGAAGTATGGCTGCAAGTGCTATCTTGGCGATAAATGCTGGCCGTCAGCCAACGACTGGAAGAAGCTCAACAGCACGGTGGGCGGGAACCTCATCGTAGATATTCCACCCGGCGCACCCTGCCACAAGACGTTCCAAGGTCCGCTGGGCACCGTGAACACGTACAACGCCGCAGAATGCGCCAATGTCCAGGCCAACTTTGCCAACGAGACGTGGACGTGGGTGCCCACGAGCTAATGGAAGATACAATGCAGCCGATGACCCTGATTGCAGTGTTGAGCAACCGGCTGCTGAGCTGTGGACATACTGGACCAACGAGACCTGCCGGTCCACCACCGACCCTTCGGCACCATGCACCCTGGGCAACTATCCCATCTACGTGATCATGGCCAAGACGAAGGAGCACATCAAAGCCGGCATCGACTTTGCCCGGCAGAAGGGCGTCCGCATGATTGTCCGCAACACTGGCCACGACTTCATCGGCCGCAGCACCGGCTGGGGCTCGCTGGTGATTAACACGCACAGCTTCCAAGACGTCAGCTGGATCAAGAAGTACACGGGACCGGGTAGCTACACCGGCGGCGCAGTCAAGATTGGTGCAGGCGTGCAGGGCAGGAACATCCTCACCCAGGGCCACGCTCAGAAGCCGCCAGTGGTCATCGTAACAGGCGAGTGCCCTACAGTTGGCATCGCCGGTGGCTTCGTCCAAGGCGGAGGACACGGGCCGTGGACCACGCTCAAGGGCTTCTCGGCCGACAACGTCCTCTCTTTCGATGTCATCACCGCGTCAGGGCAGTTCACCACCGCAAACGAGGTGCAAAACCCTGACCTCTTCTGGGCACTCAAGGGTGGCGGCCCGGCCTCGTATGCCGTCATCCTCTCTGTGACAATGAAGACATTCCCCGACATGAAGTCCGCCGGCGCGATCCTGTACATGAACTCGACACTAACCAACGACACCGGCCTGTGGTGGTCCGGCATGACATCCTTCCACAAGTACTCAAACCACTTCGTCGACAGCGGGCTGTACGCCTACTTCGAGGTCCTCCCGCAGACGCTGCGCGTGCGTCCCTGGGTGGCGATCGGCAAGACCGCCAAGGAGATGAGGAGCATCCTGCAGCCCTTCCTCAGCGAGCTCGACAAGAAGAAAGTCCCCTACGAGTTCGCGATCAAGGACTTCCCCACCTTCTACGACCTGTACATCGACATGTTCGAGGACGAAGCGGCGGGCGGATCGGCGCTCACGGGCGGGTGGATGTTCAACCACGACGACGTGGCCAACCGCAACGGCCAGATCATCAACGCCATGAAACCCGTCCTGGCTCCGGCGCCGGATGTTTTTGGGTTTATGATCGGCCATCTCTTCAATCCGGGTTATAACGTCCCCGTGCTGAACAGTGCGACAAACCCAGGTTGGAGAAACGCGACGGATTTCCTCATCACGACGATTGTTGTCGAAGACGGCGCGTCGCTGGCGAGGAAGGCGTATCTGCAGGACACCCTGACGAACAAGATGGATGCTGCCCTGCGCGCAATTAGTCGCAGCGGGACGACGTATGTCAATGAGGCCGATCCGTTCCAGCCCGACTGGCAGAGCCACTTCTGGGGGTCGCAGTATCCCACGCTCAAAAAGACGAGGAGCAAGTGGGATCATCTGGGTATCTTTTATGCTGTTAGCACACCTGGCACCGAGGGTTGGGGGGTTATTCAGGATGGGACGAAGTTGTGCAAGTCTCTGTAGGTAACATATACGGCAAAGAAATAGTAATGACCACATAATGCAAACTTGCGCGAGCAACCATCTGTCTCTCCTTCGATCCACGGTTGTCCAACCTCAGAGCAGAACACAGCAAAAAGGAAACTGTGGAGGAGCTGGGAGTCGAACCCAGTACCTCGTGCAGGTAACATGTTGCCTGATGATTGCTCACCAAGACGGAATGCTAAGCACGCGCTCTACCAGATGAGCTACACCCCCAAGATAGAAGAAATTGGTGAACAGAGTGGGATTCGAACCCACGCCTCTTGCGAGACTACGAAGCGGGATGGTCACCGAGAATGGTAAGTTACCTGAACGTAGCGCCTTAGACCGCTCGGCCATCTGTCCTTGGTTGTTGATGGAAGCGTGATCTTTATCAGAGTTTGTGCGCTTCGAGCTGTGCGATATGAGTCGTGGTGCGCTAAGAGGGAGGGATGCCCTTGGTGGGGAATGACTGACTCGGGCACCAGGCGAGGTGCGACAGGGGACGGAGCTATAGGGTAGGGCACACCATAACCAGCTGGACTTTGCACATGCGGAATCCTGTTCTCAAGAACAGACCAAGGGAACTATCAATTCCAGGGGAGATAAGGGCGCAGTTGGGGGCAAAATGCATTGATCTATAACCGTAACAAAACAGCCTAATCCGAGAGACAAACCCACCAACAAGAGCAAACTAGCGACTTGAGACCAGCTACGCCAAAGGCACAATGCAATCCCAGACAACATTCGAACAGGTATCCATCCAGACCAAGCACACTACGAAGCACTAAACCCCCTCGCCAACCTCCCACCCTTAATCTTCTTCTTCAGCGCCTCGATAATAGCCCTCAACCCCGTCAGCAGATCACCATTGAGCACGGCATCCGCAACAGCCTTGTTAACTTCCGTCGAGTTGAGCCACTTGTCGATCAACTCCCTGTCTACCTCGACGAACGCCCTCCTCGCCAGCGGCAGCACCTTGCTGCACTCCTTCAGGTCGTTGATGTTGTTCACGCCCAGGAGGGAGAGGCGCACGTACTCTTTTGCGTAGTCCTGGAGGAAGCTGTGTTAGCGGGCGATGGCAAAGAGATGGGAAGCAGAGAGGGAAGACACACCTCGTTCCAATGCCCCTGATCTGAGGCAAAACTCTGGAACTCAGGTGCTATCCTCGGGTCTTGCGCGAGGTTGATGTCACTCTGGAATTTGAACACGCGCGGTGGCGCAGGGCCGAGGGTCTGCTTGTAGTATTTGACGTCCCAGACTCCAGGGGAGGAATCTTGGGGGTCCCCGGCGCGGGATGGGTCGACGAAACGTTGCTGGCTTGTACTGTGCGCGCCTAGGAGGGCAGTCAGACCGTGCGCGCTGATCGTCTTGTCTTGGAAGAGCTTGATGAGAGTGTCGGCATCCGAATTGACGTCGGGCAGCAGACCGGGCGGTGCAGGCGTGGCGTTGTCCCTGCGACCGACGTAGGAGCGTATGCGGGGGCCGAGGGGACAAGTGACCGTCGCGACCGTGGCAGCCATCTGTATCAGATCGGCATACGTAACGTCGTACGACTTGTACAGCCCATACAATTTGGTGATGTAGGCAGACACCTCTTGCAGGCCGTTGTTCTCCGGCTTGGTGAGCTCCGAGCCGGACAGGATAAGCGAGCCGTCAGCACCGCCGCCACCTGTGCCTTTGGACCAGCCTGCGGCGTCGTGGAAGCCGAGTCGTATCGATGCCCGGGCTAGGTTGTTGCAGCGCCCTGCCTTGCCGAGGAACTTGGTCCACATGTCTGCCGATATGTAGGTCCATATGCAGCAGGTGTCTGCTTTGCAAGCTGCCGAGCCCTTGGCTGGGACAGCACCTCGCCAGGTTTCTGCGCTCTGGCCTGTCTCCAAGCCGGTGATGATGTTCTTGATGGAGCGGCCGACGGGCGTGAGCTGGCTGTCCGTTAGGGTGACGAGGTCGCCAATTAGTTCGTGCGAGTCGCCGTCATCGACGCCAGTGTCTAGTGTCTCGCGCGACATGAGGTCGTTTAGCGTTTTGTTCATGCCTGGCCATGCGCTGGCAGACCCTAGGAACGATAGAAGGACGCATGCTCGGACAGAACGTTGAAGATGCATCGTGACAGGCGTGAGATTGTGCGACGAAGCTAAGAAGATACCGCAAACACGGAGACTCGACCGCAAAGTAGAAGACGTAAGATACCGACATCACTGGATGTCTGATACCGCCTTCACAGCAGAGAGCATATAACCTACCATGAAACCGATCATGAATGGCGATGGCGACTTGAGCTCTTTCGGCCAAAGCCCTTCTTGCACGGTCCAGAAGCCCAAAGGCTAGTAGGGTAGTAAGCGATAGTTGCCCCTTGGCATGGACAGAAACAGCAGCATCGGATGTTAAAAAGTCCAGGGGACGACCTTCTCTCGGCGTTCGAGTTCAATGTGGCTTTCAAGCCTGTACAGCATTGGATGGTGAATCCGCCCGGCTGGTGTTGCCAACGGTCTGGATGGCTTAGGGAATCCGACTGCACGGATGGGCTGAATTGGACACTTCCTCAGAGAACTGTCAACACTGTTCGCAGGACTTCCAACTTCCCACCTTAAAGCAAAAGGCAGCAGTTGTGACTCGTGGTTGGAAAGGCATCCGATGCCAAGACAGTTCTCTATCATCCGGACTGCTGCCGTCCATGGATGATGGCCATCCATCAACTCGTCGGGCAAGGGCGAGTAGCACAACCTTATTGGCGTACACCTGTGAGATATCCTGGTCCAATGACGCAAATAGAACCCAAAACGACGGTGATCTAGACCGGGGAAGCAGCCCGAAACAAAGCCAGATGCCGCCGCCGGTGGCGCTGGGCTGAGCTCTCAGCTACAGGCTAGAGAACGCCCACGTCGTGGATCTTCTTGGCACGCGTGTTGCTACCGAAACAGAGTTTGAGATCAAATCCGGCGACAAGGAACAATGGCGATCAGCTCCCGGAGGTGTGGATGACATGCTGCTTCCCGGAACTTAAGCTTTGACGGCCAGCTCGGCTTTGTCAGGTCTGGACTTGTCGAATGTCAGCCATCGTAGATTCAACCGAGTAGTTCGGAGAGAGGCGAGCCTATCGCTAGCACTTATTGGTTCGTCAAGCTCTGGTGCCAATATTCTTGCTTCCAGGCCCATTCGAAGGGGTAGACTCGAAACGAGAGCTCCTCATCAAACTCTTTTGGGTGTTCCGTTGGAGGGTAACGATATTGAAGCGGTTTGCGGGGAATCCTGGAGCTCAGCTCTGATCTGCCGCTCCTTGGCAGTTCAGGTAGTGTGCGGCTGTGGAAGCGCTGGACCATTGATCGCTGAACACGCCATCAGCCCTTTCTGGCTCTCGGATAGGGCGAAAGAGTCATCTGTCTCTTCACAGGGCTCCAATGTTGAGGAGTCAAGTTGGTGTTCCAGAGCATACGCTTTTGCTGCGAAAATAATCTTGTCTTCCTCCCGGATCGCCCCACATCACGTGATGGTGCACAATCCTGCAACAAAGCCCGTCTCGTCGCACCACAATACACAATCGACGACCACGACAGCCACAACAAAGCGAATTACACAGAACAACTCGGAATCGCCTGCTGGGCCCGGTGTCGACGCAGCATTGCGCTTTAATAGCCTCCGTTGTTCTCAGATTTCCGCAAAAACGTGCAAAGATGCAAAAACCCGAAACTCAACTCTCCCGGACCCCTCGAGCAAAAAAAACAAACAAAAGGAAATTGTTCGAGAGACTCTCGAACGCATGCTGCTACTGACCCTGACCCGATTTGAACGGATAACCTTTCGCTGTCACGGTTCTGTTTTAAGGAACTGGAGGCGAACGCGCTAGCCGTTGCGCCACAAGGCCTGTTTGATGAGGGATCGGGACGCTGTTCAGCCTGAATACACTTGGCAGAACCTATCTCACTCTCAGAGAGGGTGTGGGGAGCTCCACTTGTCCGAATTCCCGAGGAAGAGTTGTGGAATGTGAACCAACATCCCCTTTCAGGGCTTGGTCATCACCACGAATCAACACAGGGCACTCTTGTGTCTCATGCATCTCTTAGGATAAGAGCAAGCCGACCTGCTCTACCATCAGGGGAGAACGAACTCCTCAATCACTCTTTTGTCGGGCTTCACCCAATTGGTCTTTGCCTCCTCGCTCCTCCACGTCTCTTTAGTGTAATACACCCGCCACAACTCCTCATACGCAAGGACCCCGTCGGACCTGACGAACTCGCGGATTGGATGGTCTTCCTCATCTGACCTGGGACAGGTAGTTGTTTTAAGGCGCGAAAGCACGAAGTTCGCCCAGAAGACGATCCGAGTGGTGTCCAGGTTGTGTTCAAGAAGAACGGGAATGTGTTCCCTCGCGCGCTCCATCAATGAGCTGTCCTTTCCGGTGCCCTGGATGATATGCACGACGATGTACGTTATCAGGTGCGCATGGCTCGATGACCCCGTGACTGTATAGATTGTCGGCGTTGTGCCCCAGTGTATTGTGTAGTCTGCAAATTCCAGGAAGACGGCGACGTGCGAGTCCAGCACTTCCGTCGAAGGTACCTCCGGGACCGCGCCCGCGGCTCGATAGGACTCGTTCTCTTCCGGCGTCACCATCTTTCCGGGCCATGGACCGGTATAGCGATTGTTATAGTTGACGGACTCGGGAACATCCGCCAGGTCGGGCTGCACATGTGTCTCTCGCGCCTCGATACTGGTCCATACTTCTGGGCTGTAGAACTGTTTCCAGGTGTCGTGGTTGATATCGAATATATTCTTGAATGCCAGGTACGTCATGTCCCAACCCTGAAAGGGACTTTGGACGGTCCCACGGACTCCCAGTTTTCAAGCCAACTCTGGATAAGTCCGGTGTAAAAGTACACTTGTGTCATGGAGTACGGCTCGACACCCGGGTCGGTAATGCGCAGCAGCGTAACATGTCGTTCCAGACATGGAAGGGCGCGATCGAGTTTGAAGGAGGGTTTCCGTGGCCGAGGATAGGACATTGTCCACTTCATCATTGCAAACGCGAATCGTAACAGTAGGTCCTTGTCGCCGGCTTGGTGGTTCTTGAAGATGCAATAGCAGAGGCTGTCGCACCGTTCGCAGGGTTGCGTGGGCAGTGGTCGCAGATCTGGGTGCATCCAGTACTCGGTGGCATCGCTGCTCTTGAGAAGTTCGGGACTGTAATACGTCTGGATCCCCAAGTCTTGGAGCATAGGTAGATGTTCGAGAACCAT